GCAAACGTAAGGAAGCCGCCGACGCCGACTTGCACTTCGAACGAGACGGCGAACCACTCCATCTTCATGGGCACAAACACCAGTACAATGAGGAGGTAGATGCGCATCTGCGCCTTGTTCATACTCGACGCCATATAGCCGTGAATGTCGGCCCTCATCTCTTGCACTTCGTTGATGACAAAGTACGACGCCGTGAGCCCCAAGACGCCGTTGTTGAACGATGCAAACCACGTGTTCATTCCAACCGCATCCGCAAAGAAGAGCAGCGGCAGGACACATGCAAGAGTTAGCCCCGTCGTAAGCAGCACCAAGCTGTGACGGACGAGTGCCTTCTTCTGAGGTAAGTCGGGAAGAGTAAGAGAGACGTCCAGGGCCACACTGCCGTCATGGAAGTAGCGCGCCAGTCGCCACAGCAAGGCTGGACGAAGCCCTTGCACGACAGCATATGCCACAATCACAAGCGTCACGGCCGAGATGCCAAACACCAGCACGAGGAACGGGGGCAGCTCGTCGGTGAAGAGCACGGACGACGTGGTCATGGTCAGCAGCAAGAGGACGTTCATGAGAAGTTGCTCAATGTACTTGCGCTGGCCAAAGAGCTCCCACTTGATCTCAAGGAGCCGACGAAACGCAACGTGCTCCAGACACGCCTTTTTCGTCTCAAACGAAGCGATGACGTCAGTCGATGGCATGTTGAGGACGGTGTGGAGCGCGCTTTTCTCAGCGCACGAGCCGTAGAGAACGTCCAGCTATGCAGTGTTGGGACCTCACTCTGATACTAATCCCCCGTCTGTACCTTGGAGAACGTCGCTTCGTGGCGACTCAGCGTGATGCAGTCGTCGAGAAACGTCTGACCGAGCTTGAGGCTGCACTGAATCGCTTTCGGAAAGTCGGCCCCGTCACCGCCAAAGATTTCGTCGGTTGTTTGCGTGATCATGCTCAGCGCAACTTTGTCGCGGAACGCTTGTGACGTGGCTCGCGTCTGTGCTTCCTTGCGAAGCATTTCGAGAATCTGTGCCTGGGGGACGTCGCGGCCGTTGTCCTTGGCAGGTTGCGTGCGGCAAAACACATCGAGCTTTTCGAGCACAGAACGACCCGTCTACGAGATAACGTCGTGTTTGTTCAACTACCGCATTTGGCACCTCGTCGATGAGCATAATGTCGGCCAAGTGGTTGACCAGGTACTCGGCCACGTCTCCATGGCCAGCAACAGCTGCGAGCATCAATGCCGTGCATCCCGTCTAACGTGGCGTGAGAAGCCTCTTTTAGAGTGGTGCTGACAATCGCACGCACCTTGTCGCGGAGATCGATGTCAACGTCCTTCTCGACCAGATACCGCACGTTCGGGAGGTGGCCAAGCTTGGCAGCGACCATGAGTGCCGTCTCACCCGCCTATCACAAGTACTTGTAACCGGTGGTGAGCACATTGAACCTACGTCGTCTGGCGCGTCCAGGTCGGCTTCCTCGGTGAGGTAGTCGAGCACGTATTCTGGCAGCGGCATGTGCATTGCCGCGTGCAGAGCGGTTTGTTTGGCCTACAACATCTAAGAGTCACACATAAAGTGTCCACTTGGCTACTTGAATGCATTTCATGGCGGCGTCGGTGTTGGGCAACCGTGCGAAGTAGTAGTCGGGGTGGCTCTTTGCCAGGGCCCAGCTGTCGTACACGAGGAGTTGGCTCGGGTTCGCTGCGGCTCGTAGCTCCTTCATGCGAGTCTACTCACACACATTCTCAAGTTAGTGATCTCGTCATTTTGACGAACGTGTACATCGTCCACGTCCTCGTCCACATTGTGGTCGGCGCCGGCGAGCAACAGCAAGCGCACGCACTTGATGCGTTCGTTGGCTGCAGCCAGCGCGATAGCGCTCATCTGCTCCTACGTCTCGATGGGTCCAACGTTTTATATCATGCGTGCCCACTTACGTCATTCTCGGTTTCGAGGTTGATGTCGAGTTGGGTTTGTTGGAGCAGCACGTGCAGCGTGGAGGCGCTTCCCGCTTTGCAGACGTGATGCAGGACGGCGTAGCCCTACCCCATACAGTGTAAACCTTTAGGAGATGAGCGTTTAGGTGTACCTTGTCGTCGCAATCGTTGATTGTACTGACGCTGGGATTGGTCTTCAGAAGGCTCTGAAGCTCGTTCCAGTTTTTGGACTCCGCCAACTTGATGTAGTTGGTAGCGCCCGATCGGTGCGTCTCTTGGCAAGCACCAAAGCAAGCCAGCGGAGGCTTCGCATCGAGCAGCACGTCGGGCTATTGCAAATGCATGAGCCAACCTGCCCCACCAATGGCAAGCGGTGGTACAAGGGTCGTTGGGTCGAGCTCGTGGTTGAGACGGACCATGACGCCCTCCAATGCCTTGAGAAGCGCTTCGTTGGAAGCGTGGTCGGGGTTGGCCAAACATGTGATCTCAGCTTGCAAGAGCATGTCTAAAACCGTCTCTCCGCTCTACGAAGAATAAGATCCTATTCTCGACATTTTTCATCATACCGGCGTTGCAATCTTCAAGGTGTCGGGAGTGCAGTACGGCAGGATCTGGTCGAGCACCTGCGTCGGCTTGGTGTTGTTGATGGCCTTTGCGGCGTGCATGACCACAGTCAGTCCGTCCTGCGGATCCCATGAGCAAGAGTCAAGATAGGGTCTTGTACCATGTCCTGGACAGACAGCGCAGTGAGCACTTTGGCTTTGCGTTGGGCTTCGTCGACGGGCTGCTGTGCCAGCCACGCATCGATGGCGGCGACGTCGTTGGCGCGCGCGATGCAGTGCAACGGGAATTGCGATCGAAACCCGGCTTCGTTTGCCAAGAGATGTTGGATACTGGCCTTATCAGTGAGCTCAGCCGCGCGCTTGCCGTCCTAGTTTGTCAAAACCATCAGACACACCGCCGGTAGAGCCGTTCGGAGTGCCTTGTTCTTGATGTCGACGTCGGCGTTGGCCGTGAGGAAGCGCTGCAGGTACTCGCAACACTCGTCTTCGTCGTCTATCGACTGAATCGCCATGTGCAGAGCTGTGTTGCCCAGCTAGACATCAAATGTAAATCATCCGCTGGTGCATCATTGTCTACCTCATCGGCAATGTTGACGCTGGCGCCCGCGCGCAGGAGAAGATCCATACCCCGGCTATTGTTGGCCTCGATACTCAGGTGCAGCGGGGTCTGTCCGTCCTAAGCGCACCAGTAATGCCTGATCACTCCTACTCGCTCGCTATTGTATATACCTTGTCGAGTTGATCGACCGACGAAAAGTGCGGCAGAAGCCACTGCAGTACGCTGTGAGCGTAGTCCCGTGCCGCAATGTGCAGCAACGAAGCCTACAGACACCCTACAGCGACGGAATTTCCACATAAAGCTGCACCTCGCCGTCCTTGACGTCCACTTGACCAGGTATCGCTTGCCAAAGCAGCTGAACGATGGCCACATGGTCCCGGCTCACAGCTTGGATCACCGTGTCGGTCGCATACTGCAGGTAGATTTGTCGACCAAAAAGCTCGGGCGAATGTCTATGGTACCTCGGGAATTTCTTGAAACCGAGGCGACTCCAAGAGCAGCTGCACAATGCGCTCGTGGCCCTCGGCAGCCGCCAGCGACAAGATGGTCCAGCCCTAAGCGGTTCGTGATATCGATACCGCAAGTAGAAAAGAACGTATACCTCGCAAGTGGCCATGAGATCGGCGTTGGTGACTCTTTTCGACAGTAGACGATATTCCACGGCGGATACTTGGTCGTCATAAAGGAGCTCGGCCATCGTCATGCTCGTGTCGTCGGTCACGATCTCGTTGGCGCCAACGTCATCGTCGACTGCATCGAGCAGCGTCTCACTCGACGACGATGCAGTCTGCAACTTGACTTTCGAGTACGTTGGGCGCTCCATGCTCGATGCGTTCGTCCCTCAATGTTGAAGAATAGGACAAATAGCGCGGTCGATATCAAATATTTCGACAAAAGGTCGAACATTCATGGTGTTTCGAAGCTTATGCATCGTCCTCGGCAGCCAAATACAAGGTGTTCGCAATAGCGGATGACGACGGGCGTACATAAGAGAATGAGAACCATTAAATCTTCAATCACAATTCACTATATTTGACTGTGGACGATTCGTGTCCACAGAGAGCTCCGATGGACGCTGCGGACGACTTCGATTTTAGACGGATCCGAATGGGCGATGTATCCGGATATCTGGCATTTTGGCCAATCGGGAACGTGTATTTTCAGTTGATCGGAAGCGGGCGATGGAGACGATGACGCTGGCGCGGGCGACGGCCGAGGCCGACCTGCGGACGAAGGAGGAAGCGCTCCAGGCGCTCGAAGGTACATGGGCGCGCTTCCTATCTCGTCATGGAGGTCGACGCGATCCAAGACGATGCGAATGATACCACGTATGGCAGACCAACGGTCCGACTGCAGCTCCGGGTCCTCTGGCTCAAGCCCCCGCTCGTGCATCTTCAGTGCCAGCTCTCGAGCAGCACGCCCGCGCCTTGAAGAGAACTTGGCATCAAGGCGACTGCCATACTGCCATCGGAGCGATCAATGGCTGCGGGCAGCGTGAGGTATGGCGCGTCGAGTTGCATGATGATGACCTTTCTTCATAGACCTGTTCAGCATGCACATGATCAACTGCTCGCGGTGTATACCGAGCATGTACTAACGTTACACGAGCCCTTGACAAAGATGGTGTCCTGAAGCGCGCGAAAGGCGAGGAAACGTCGGGAGATAGCGCCACTTCGTTACGGACGACGGTATCATGGGCACAGACTGCACATGCAGCGCACGACTACCTACCGTACCAAAACCAGCGCATAGGAATCTCATGGCCGATGGGTCGGCTCCATTGCCTCGGCGTCCGCTGCCTACGCGGACGCATGTTGGTTCGGTTGCGCCAATATGCGAAGAGTGCACCATCGCCTAGCGCCTCGACGCTACGACATCCTGATTTCTCTAAATCAGAAAGTAGGTAGATGGATGGCGATGCTTCAAGCCGTAATGACGGCGAAAAAATCACGTTATGAACAACTGCGTTGTATCCCAAAACACACATTGCACAGTGCATTTACCAGCGAGAATCGATGAAAATGCGGTTTAGGACATCGCAAATCAAATGCACAGCTTCAAGACGAGTATTTTGCTTGGTCATCACAGCGAACCTGCGTAGGCAATACCTCAGCGGCGATAAATTCATCGAATGAGTCTGCAAGCCTGCGTTGGCACTAAAACTGGCAATATGTGTCTAGAAATGGCTTGTGCCACGATTAGTGCTGGAGCCTGTAGGGAGCGCTAGATATTGCCAACGTCGACGCGACGAGGTGTTTTGAGCTCTCCAGAGTGTCCTCTATCACCTCGCCAAGTTTGAGCGACTTTGTCGAAAACTCGAGTTGGCCGACCGATGGACCCCACCGCGCACCGGTACGCCAGTGTGTCAGCATTTTAGCCAATCGCAACGGCTGAATATATAATATTCAATGGCCAATCCAAATTGAGGAATTGGCGGGTTTCAGCCAATCATCAGTACGCGTTCCAGGCACAATTCCCGACACGGATGTCCGATGGCCGTGTCATGTTGAAGCGCTTCCACGCCGCATCGGTCGACATGGCATCGCTGCAGCATGCGTGATGAGCGACCGAATCGGCCTGAAGGTGGAGCCCTGGCCAATACTGTCGACGGCCTCATGGACACGACGGCCATGTGACTACCCGAGATGATGCGCTTCTCCTAGACCCACAGATACAAGGCTACAAGCGATATCGCGCGTGCCTCGCGCGCGAAGCCATTGGCGAGCCCGCGTAGCAATGGACGCGTCTCCTCCTACACGCTCTCGTTGTGCACACTTCGGCGACGGTCGTCAGTACATCTACTGCTTGCATATAGGACGCGCGGTCCACCGGTGTACCAAATTCGAAGGGCAAAATCAATACATCCAACAATGTTCAAGTACCGGTAAATGCAGTTCCTTAGGCGTTGCCTCGGCTCGCCCGTTGCTTCTTGGGTGCGGTTGTCGTCTCCATTTGCTGGCGCAGCCCTTGCATCTCTAGCAAGAGCGTCTGAACAAGGCGCGTGTGGTCGTTCAGAAGGCTCTTGAGGCTCGCGATTTCGTCGTTTGCCGACACTGGTGCTTCAACGCGCTCTTGAGCCGGTGCAAAAATGTTCGCAATCGTCACCAGCATCCGCTTCGCCATCTCTTTCAACGTCGCTTGGTGCGACAGCTGATACAAAAGCACGCACTGGCCGTGGGGCGTCGTAGCGACAACGCCTTGCACGTCGGGCTGCCACAAGTCAATGATGGCATCCCGGAGCTTGGCGACCTCGCGCTGGACACGAACGGACGTCGTGGGCCCATCCGTGGCAGAGGCGAAAAGGTCGGTGGTTCGAGCCCTCGTTGCCGCGAAGAGCGTGAGCTCGGTGCGGAACACGCTCTTGACGTCCAACGGTGTGAAATGCCCGACGCGGACAAACGTTGCTTCGAATGCGTCAAGCGCGTCGTCAACTTGGCACTTTGCGGCCTCCATACTGCGCTTGGGCGCCTCTTTTGACGCTGCGTACTCTGTCAACGCGGCGTCGTCCTCAGCCGAGACGGGCCATTCGGCGCGTGGAAGTGTCTCGGTGAAGATCGGGTTCAGCAAGCCCGCAGGCTCCTTGAGCGATGGGCGGCGGAAGTCCATGAGGTCCATGCGCTCACTCTTGTTCATTCGCTGGGACATCTCCAAGTGCAAGATGCTCTGGGCGTAGCTTGAGAGGGCTTGGCTCTTGGCGCGGTTGAGCCCAACATCGACCGTCTTGTTCATCATGGCGAGGAGGACGTTGATGAGCAGCAAAACGATCGTCGCTGATTGGCACATGAAGAGCAAAGTGGCGCACGCCGTCAAGAAGCTTTCGGTCTCCGGATCAAACGACGAGATGGCGTCGAGCGGGACGTTCCCAAACGTAACAAAATATGTCGTCACAAATGATTGCCAGAGGGTGCTAAACTCTTTAACGTCTTTTTCGCGGAAGAGCTGGTAGAACGTGAGCGCGAGCCCGACTTGGACAACCCCAAAGAAGATGAAAAAATTGCCCACATCCACGAGAAGGTCGCCGACCATGGGCAAGAGAAAACTCACCGCCGGCACGACTTTGAGAAACTGCAGCGAGAGCACCCAGAGCACGATCGTGATGATGCTGCCGAGACCTGTTTGCACAGATGTTGACGCGTCCAGCCAGTGGAGCTTCATCGGGACGTAGACGCACACGATGATGAGGTACAGGAGCAGTTGCAACCTGGCGAGGCGCGACTTCTTTACCGCTTCCATGTCGCTCGTGGCCTCCTGCCGCTGAATGTACAAAAAATAGAGCGCCGCAAGCCCGACAAGAGCATGCGCCGTAGCGGGAAACCAATCGATGAGCTCAAAGTAGAGCAGCAGCCACAAGATGGGCACCACAAGAAGCAGCGTGATCGCAAAGGTCGCAACAACGAGCAGCTGCTTGACGAGGCTTTTCCGCGCTCGCAGCTTTGGGATCTTCATGTCAGGGTCGAATTCGAAAGACCGATCGTACGTGAGCCGTGCAAGGCGCCAGAGGGGCCGGGGCCGGAGCCACTGCACCATGCCGTAGCTGACCGCCACAAAGACGAGCGTGGCAGCGCCAGTGCCAAACGCCGCTGTGTTGGGTGCTCCGTCGGGCGAGAGCGTGCACGAGATGGTCGTGAGAATAAGCAAAAGTAGGTTGATGAGGCATTGTTGGAGGTACGCGCGCCGGCCAAAGAGCTCCCATTTGATCTGCAGCAGGCGCAGCATCGTTATGTGTTCCATGCACTCAGTCTGAACGCGATCGATCAATATCGGATCGTTGGTTTCGAGATCGAAGAGATGGTAGTGCACGCAATACTCGTAGTCGCGGCCAAAGATGTGCTCCATCTATATGTCCCACGATTGAGTAGACGACCTCTAACAGACACTAGTGTACCTCGGTGAAGCACACTTCATGGCGGTCGAGCTTGACGCAGTCGCTCAAGAAGCCGCTCGCGATCCCCGGGTCGCTGGTGAGGGCGTTAGCAAATCCGTTGGTGGTCAGTGCCTCCTCTGTGCCGAGCTGGCGCAGACGCTTGGCGATCTTGGCACGGTGCTCATTCGACTTGACGCGCAGTAGTGCCTCGGTCGCCAGGATTTCTTGAATATCGTCATGCATTGGTGGACGTGGCGATGCACTCGCAAGCACGGACGCAACGGTTGTCTACACCATGCACAACGATCGTGGATAATGTCAGAAGGGTAATTCAATACCGAAGGCGACAAGTTGAGGTCCGCCAAATGCAGCAATAGCTCCCGCACAATGGTTTCGTGCCCATGAAGGGCAGCGAGGAGGAGCGCCGACTGCCCAGCCTAGGCAAGGTATGAGGTGAGATCCTCATACCTATTCGCAAGCCACCTTATTGAGGACATCCATGTCGGCGCCGTGCTTCAAGAGAAAACCCACGTTAGCCGAGCCGCGCCGCGTGCATCAACGCCGTCTCCCCGGCCTAGACACCCGACGATCATTTGTCGCAGACCTTTGCTTCGGTTACCTCGTCCTTGGCGTCAAGATCGACGCAGTCGTCCACCAGCTGCTGGAGAATCGCGGTTATTTGGTTGAGTAGAATTGCGGCGTGCAATGCGACCCGCCTGCGTTACAACAAAGCCCCATTGTTTACCACAGCTTGCCAAGCAATGTACCTGGATGAAAGCGACAGCATTCGCTACAGTCTCGACGTTCACGGCGTAGTAGCGCGGATGTTCTTGCTTTACGCGCTGCTTGGCAGCAACGAGCTGGTAGCTCTTCTCCGTCTGGTCCCAGTGACGCACCGCGCGTGTCCACGCGGCCTACCAATGGGTTTCGCCTAGTCGTGCACAGCCGGCCATGTCTTCTCTTCCAAGAGCTGTATGAGCTCCGTCCAGTTGTTTTCGCTGGCGAGCTTGGCGAAATCTTCGTCGAAAAAACTACCCTCGCTGCATTGACCAATGCATTGAGTCACCGATGCCTACATGGTCGACGCGATATATATACATGGTACATGTACATCACTTGTCTACCTGCGGTGTAATGGGGCATTTGGTGAGCTGGGATAGCATCGAGATGCATTCGAGCAGCTGGATGTTCAAGTCGCTCTCCCATGCCGTTGCACACATGAGACGCGCCATGGTGATCAGTTCCAGAGCAGTCCGCCCGGGGTCCATACAGCTGAGGCACTCACTCCCCTCGATCGGCAGCTTGGCCTTGTTGCAGCGCAGGCACGACCAGAGTGGAAACGTGTACTTGTTGATGCCCGTGAGCTGGTTGGCCGCGTCGAGAAATGTCGCAGTCCAAATGCCAGTGTCCACGTCGATCGGTCCCACAAACGTGACGCGTGCGTACTGGCTGTCGCCCAGTGCGTACGACTGCACCATCGACACGGAGTTGTCGCGGACCGACCAGGCACCCACGACTGTCCATGGCTTGCCTGTCGTGTTGACATTGATACCGAGGAAGCGGTACTGCGTCTCATTCGGGCAGCGCACAAGCCGCAATTGCATGCTCCCGTCGAGGACTTCTTGGTCGCGGATGCTCGTGCCGGGAACCGGCGTGAACGGCACGTCGGTCGGCGGCACAATCGACGCCAGCCACTGGTCGATTTGCCGAAAGTTGCCATTGCGGGCAAGGCAGTGGCGTGGGAACCGCTTTCGGAACTCCGCTTCCGCCGCAATCGCATCCCTTATTTCCTGAAGCGGTTTGCTTGACGCCAAGTCGACGGCCAGAAGACCTTGCTACGTAACGATGAGCCTCAGTATGTGTGCATAGCGCATTATGTACCGTGTTGCGCACTTCGACACTCGCGTTGGCCCGAAATAGACGGTCCAACATGCGAAGAACTGTCTCGAGGGGCCTGCGCGGCTTGGCCGCGGCGCGATGCAGTGGCGTGTCTCCGTTCTACTCCACGATGAGGTGGATCCTTTTCCTTGCACACTACTTTGTCGACGGCATCGACACGGGCTTCCATGTTGACAAGCGCATCGACGCAGGCGTACGACGCGCGGCGCACGGCCATGTGCAGTGGCGTACGTCCACTCTAGAATAAGACATATTGTCCACCGTCCCAAATCATGTCAATGCAAGGTACGCGGTTGGACGCATTGACGTTCGAATGCGGTAAAAGTTCGTGGACCACGGCCCCCGCGCCGCACTTGACAGCAATGTGCAGCGCCGTGTTGCCTTTCTATGCAACCAAGGTGAGGTGTGAGGGTGCCACGTCATGAAGAATGATGGTACATGGTCCAGAGCGATGGTCGCCGATGTTGGGATCGCGGCCAGCAGTCGACGCACGATGCGCTCGTGCTTGTTGGCAATGGCACCAATGATCGGGAAAAGCTCATACTAGAATGCACAGCTATGACACATGATGCGATATAACGGTGGTACGTCAGGAATGCTCGTAAAGTCGGTCGCGGTGAGAATGAGATCGACAACTTCGAGGTTGCCCGCACGACAGGCGGCGCTCGAGAGGTTCACGCCCATCTACGTCGATAGGATGAGCTATTTGGACGCGTGTATCGGTGATGCCTTACGACATGGCGCGTCAAGTCGTTGGTCGTGTACGCCTTGGTGGTGATGCGGTCGACGACAGCGGCGACGTTGCCGGCGCGGAAGAGGTCGAGCATAAACATGCCCTCCACGTTTTGCATCAGCACAGGATCGTCCTCTTGCGTGATCTCCGAGTTGGGCGGGTCCATCGTCGAGACATCCAGCGGCGAGTGCGGTGCGACCGCGTTGTAGGCGAGCTTGCCGCCCGCTTTCCATTTGGTGTGCATTGGTCGTGCAATTACGGAATGTGAGGGATCGAAGCGACGCTGACATTCGATTTCGATGACGTGGAGAGCACACGCGAAGACAACTTTCGAAGATTATTATTGGTGTGGCGTCGACATTAACACATAATAGCGTGAGCACGCAATGAATGAGGGAAGGGTCACTCAGTCGAATAACTTAGTCCAGCGTACTAGTAGAACAAGCCCTGTGAAAACACCTCTGCGCCGTTTACCGTGTCCACTTTCTGTGGCCATTGATACACCTCTGACGCCGTAGGAGACTACCTCTCGTTGCGACACAATGCCCATCGAGAAACTCGCTTCTGCGTTGGAGCACTTTGGTGGAAGTCTGGTGTCCTAGAAGATGGAAACTGAAACGACTGGAGCCGTTTTATCTCTCTATCCTTCTATGCTTCACTGCACTATGTGATAAAAAACTGGTGAAGCGGAACGGCGGATAAGGCCGGCTAAGCTCGTCGGCTACGAAACACTCGGGAAATGTACTGCATGGAATCTTATAGGCCTTCCTTGCGTTCATTCGCTTCAAAAAATCCGCAACATGTTGAGTGGAGAATGAATCTGAAAACTCACTTCACGACACCATATATATTTTAGTTGTGGCGATGGCGAATCACTATATCCGGATAGGAGGAAGATGCACATACTAGTGCATCGTTCTCGGCAAGCCGTGCCGCCGTGATCGGTTCGTCCTGGTTCATGTATGCTTCTGCTACCGGTACACCACGCTATAGCACTGTAGTAAAGTCTCCATTCGTCTCTCAACGGTGGTGTACATACCCGAATGTAGACGCCGAGAGAGGGACGCGGCGTGGGACCAAGACCTCAAAGTTGGGCCACCATTTGCGGGGGATCGCGTCCATTTTTGCGAGGGCGACCAAAGCGTCGTCGCTTCCGAACTTATCGGATGTCCGACCACGTTCTTTGCAGTGGTTCCAGTCTCTGAAAATGGCGATCTGCAGTCGGGAACTTCAACAGTCCATCAATAGTACCTGGTACGCCGCCACCGGTGAACGTCGATGACACTACCGACCAGCAAAACCAACCCCTCAGAGCTCATTGTCTAAAGTTACTACCGGTCCCCCATCGTTGAGCAAAACTGTTCCAAGGCGCAAGACCATGGCGAAACGGCAATGTGGGCTTCCTCAAAACCAGCTGGTGCGAGAGGACCACGGTCACCTTGGTGATAGGCGTCACCAGCTGCCACAATCCTGCGGCAACCGATGGCATCATTTTTGAAGACTCGGCCATGGGCGCACGGGAACTTGCGCGCTCGGAGCTCGAGCACTCGGACTCGGTCAACGACATGCTGGCCGAGACGGCCTTTCCTGGCGGCATGGACGACTTGGCGACCCTGGTGATGCTCTTTGGTCGCAACCGGTTTAGCGCCATTCGCCACCGCATCAACGACGACGACGTGGACGACGACGACCTCGCCGCCACCAACAAGGTAATCGTACCAACGCATTGTGTGCAGCCAATGTAAGTCGCCATGCTTCATAGGAGGGACATACGATCCTGTCGCTGGCCGCCAAGTTTGGCCGCGTCGATCTCGTGCGCCTCGTCGTCGAGAACACGCGCTTCTCGGCCATTCCCGACGTACTTTTTCCTCCTATATCCTCGTATAATGACGTCATTGACCTAGTACGAATGGGCACCAATCGCGGCGGCCGTCGAGCACGACCGGTTGCCCGTGGTCGAGTACCTCTTTGCCAGCGTACCTGGCGCCAAGGACGCCACGTCGCCCTCGGTACGCGTGCTAAACTCGATTCCGTGTCGTGAGTTAGTATTTTCTCTTAGACAGGCGACTCGCTGTTGCACATGGCGATCCAG